GCCCAAAGGTCACTGGTGGAATCTAGGAAGTCTGTGCCAGTGGCATGAAGGATCTGTGCTAGCAGGCTGAGGGATCTGCACTGGAGCCAGGAAGCCATGCTCAGAAGAACCAGAGCTCCCCTGAAAGGTACCACAGCCATCCTCAGCAATAGTGAGGTCCTGAGCTCCTCTGATGATCAAGATGGCTGAGCTCCCATCAGGGAAGCCAATGCAGCAAGCCTTTCTAGGAAACTAGCAGTGCACCATCTTCCCCTCTGCAGCCAGGAAGCAATGCTCAAAGTGAGGACCAAAGCTCTTCCAAAGTGAACCAAAGCCATTCTCAATGCCAACAAGGTCCCGATCTCCTTGAAGGATGAAAAGAGCCAAGTTGATCAGGAAAGCCAGCATGATTTGGAGCTCCTCCAAAACAAACAACAGCTCCTTACAGCTTCCACCAGCTCCAACAGCTTTTCTCCACTCCCAATAGCCTCTTTTCTCTTTCTCCAGTTCTGCTTCTTATGCTGCTGGCAATAATCCCCAGGTGGGCCTCCCACACCCAGCACCATGCTTACTTAGTTTAGCTGGAGGTTATGAGTTGAACTCTAGTTGTCAATCCAGTACAGAAAGAAAGCAAAAAGTATGTATATATGCGTTTTGGGATAACTGTACTGCTGATGTCTAGTGGTTTATTCAAAGAACAGTTAATGCTTAAAATTTTTTATATTTTGACCAATTTTGCATGCTTATATCTGGTAATCTGAGCAACTGAGTTGAAGACATCAATATGCAATGGAACAACCACTGGTGAATTCCTACCATCCTGTCTAGTGAAACTCTTGTATCATCCCTAATATTTTTTTAAATAATTTTTTTATTCTCTTTAATGGTTTGAACAGTCATCCATTCTTACATCAGGCAATCTGAGCAACTTCACTGAAGATAACAATATGTAATATAACAACTACTGTTAATTCCCATCATTTTGTTTTGAAATTCTGTATCATTTTTAATGTTCTTGCTTTGTTTTGTTTATGTCTGTGATGTTGGCATTTTGCTATTGTTCTTTTTTTACTACTTTTAAAATAAAAATTTAAAAAAAGAAAACATATGGCTAATTTAGGCACCAAGTCAAACCCTGAATTCTATTCAGTATCTGTTTTTGTGTTTTTCTCCCTAAGAATCTCCACATGTGAGCAGAGACTGAATTATAGAATCTCTGATTTATAAGAGACATTTGAGGCTCTTTAATTTTCCCATACAGGACCATACTACATGATCAATTATCACAAACTTTTCATCATTGACAGCAGTTCCATTTCACAGATGTTTAATCATTGGGAGCAGGGCGACAGTGTTACTAAGAAAACCTGCAGCAGGGCTCCCAAGTTAAGAAACTCTTGTGGGACAGGAACGGACACCAAAGCCAGTCCCATGAGTTCAGCTGACCACTACTAGTGAAGCTGTTTTAATATCCATCTTTTGAAAAATAAGATTTCCTTTGCAGGGAAAATGCTGTCTGGAATACTCATTATAAAGCTGTGATTCAAGCCATCCCACACATACATGAATGTTTTGCACATAGTATTCTTCCTGGTAAGAATCTGAAATTATGATTTGGATGAACTCTCAACAATACCCTTTAGCAGCCAGAGAAAGGCACAAGGGCCAAGTCCCCATACCATGGACAATTTCAGAAGGTTTCAGCTTTCTGTGTGGTTCTCTGGGACACTATTCAGCCTGGTTGTGCAACCAACCTATGCCAGGATTTTAAAATCCAATCTAGCATACAGAGACTTTCAAGAGGAATTACAGCAATAAAAGGTTGCTATTAACTAGGTACAAATAAACCTGTGTGTAAGGATTTTCTCATCAGATGCACTGAAACTCTATTTTCTGCCTTAATTCAACACTAAGGGAAGATATTTAATTTCTCCTTAATGAAAACAAAATCGTCAGAGGAATATGTAACGACACCAGTAAGGGAGCAGACCTGACTGAATAATTATGAGTCTTCAAAGAATGTTCCTGCACCACATTCCCAACCCCCACCCCTCCTTCCACCAACAAGACTGAGAGTCTATATTCTCCGTGTATGCTTATTTTAAATGCCTGCGTATAGTACCAGACTCTGAGTTTATGGCTTGGGATTTTAATCCTCAGAACAGGGAGGTTCCATTACTTGAATCTGAAAGTTGAATTACTGTGCCTTCTTTACACTGAAGACTGAACAGATTCTTTCCACCAGTCCTGCATAGGGTTGTCGCTCCTTTGTATTTCTCTAATATTTTATTTACATCTCTAAATTTAGAAATGACAAAGGATTTGCTATACTTAGATGTGTATATGTCTCCTTTGTGGACTCAGGAGGATGTAATTCGTACTTTAAATGTCTGTATTCTTCCAGAGCCTTCCAGTGTCTCAGACATATTAGCCGCTCAGTTATTATGTAGGTTTAACTGTAAGCATAGAGCTATAAAGTACTGTTAATAATTTTTCAAGTTTATTACATCTTTTCCTTCCCATTTCTAACAACTCTTCCTTTTTGAAACAGTAAAGACTAGCAATTAGCATTGTAATTTAGACAGATATGTAAACAGTAAAAAAGTGCCTAGCGAGTATTTCCTGAACAGTTATTTTATGAAGATTTTCAGATATCTCTTTTGAGCTGTCAGTTAAGGGAAACTCAGCTATCTCAGCAGGACATAGAAAAGCGAACTCAGAGAATAACTGAAGGATCTCAGAAAGATTATTGTCCCATTTAGAAAAAAGGTTCACTACACAAGTCCTAACTCTAGAAGCCAGTACATTTACCTGGCTCATGGCATTTCCAAGTCCTGTCTTTCTTCTTTAGTGTGTTTTTGGAGAAGTTGGCAGGTTTAATTTTCAAGAAACCAGTCTGTGCTCACTAGGCACATCGCTTCTTGTTCCAAAATTATTAAGATTTCAAGACAGTGACAGCGGAGCATTAGTTGAGAAGCTCTTCCAAGCACAGGGCCCTGTGCGGCTGCGCCCGCCCCGCACCTACCAAGCTAGCCCTGTTCTGTGCCGAAAAAGCTTCTGTACAGCGAAGGGCAAAAGGTCAGCGACTTAGAAGCTGCAATTCAAGTGATACAAGGCCCTCCAAGAATGGCAGGGAAGCTTCTACTAGTCATTCCAAGTAAGGTATACGGAAAGTTCATTTTGAGGGGCAGCTGAACCCAGAGGAAAGACACTCCAGATGAAGGAGCAGCGCGAAGATGGCAGAATTCACTTGCTAAATTTCAGGAACAAATGAACACAGATGATGCTAAGCCTGAGAGCAGAAAGGCAGGTAAAGCGTAACGAACACTGGGGGAAAGGACTGAACAAACCGAGCGCCTAGTACCAGCTGCTCCCACCGCGCGACGTCATTTTAAACACAGATCCATATACAAACACCTTACTTTACTAAAGGATTACTAGTGCGCACCGCATTTGACACACAGTAGGCACGCAGTCACCTGCCCAGTGACTGCCGCTCCGTCCCCCGAGGGCCCGGTGGCAGAACCCCCTAAGCTGCCAAGTCAGTCCCACAGCCCGCGTTCCCTTCCGCCGCTCAGCGGAGCCCCGCGCTCCTCCCGCCCCTTTGCCCACCCCGCGCTCCACGTGCCGGAAGGTGGGCGAGGAAGTACTTCCGGGTATAAAGGTCGGCCCCGGAAAGATGGCGGCCCCCTTGGAACTCAGTTGCTGGGGAGGCGGTTGGGGGCTCCCGTCGGTGCACAGCGAGTCTCTGGTGGTGATGGTGAGGCCGCCCTCCCAGCTGCGGCGCGCAGAGCGGGGCCGGCGGACGCGTGCTGCGCGGGTCGGGCCGGTCCGGTCCGGGCTTCGCTCCCTGCGCGGTCCTGTGAGCCTCCTCACGAGTCACAGCTGGCCTGTGACCCCGGGGCCGCAGCAGCAGCATCGTAGGCTCTCTGCTCGGCCCCGAGTTTTTCAGCCTTTCTCTCTGCGCGGTAAAGTGAAAGCTTTTGGGTGCGAGTTCTCTGGGACCTCTAGGGAACAAGGTCCCGGAAAGCTGGGTCGCTGTCAGGAGAGTTCTGCGTTTAGAGGACCGTACTGTGAAGTTAAAGCTGCACTGCAGACTTGTATTACGCATTCAGTCTAAAATGTGTTGTTGCAAACTCTGTTTCAGGCTTATGCCAAATTTTCTGGTGCACCCTTGAAAGTCAATGTCATAGACAGCACCTGGAGAGGTTCAAGAGGTACGGCGTAAACTTCAGACCTTCCTTTCTGCCCTTCCCCCAATTCTCTTTAAGCCCAGGAAACAGCCTACAGCACCTTGGGGTTTTAGTTTCTTCTCACCATGATATGATGTTGGTTGTGTGTTGCTTTGATTACCCTGAGTAATAACCCAAATTGCAAGTAAATCAGTGGAAATTTTGAGAAATGAAAATGTTCTCTAGATCTCTTTGTGAGATTGAAAAATTAAGATGTGCTTACTCATTTTTCCTGTCCAAATGTGAGATTGGTACAATTATTAGTGTATTGGAATCTCTTCAGGGAAATCACAGTGTTGCTTTGTATTTAAACTTTTTTTTTAAAATTACAGGTGAGGTACCAATTTTGACAGCTGACGACAACATTGTTTCTCAACCTGCAAAAATACTAAACTTTTTAAGAAAACAGGTGGGTGTTTCCTTTTGAAGAAGTATATTACTGATTTCTGTATCTTTTTTAAAAAACAGTGTAAGGTTTAGAGTTTTTGCTTTTTGTTGTTTTGCAACTCATATAACTGGAAATACCTTGGCTTTGATGAAAAATACACTTGAGAAGCACTGCCTGAAAAAGGCATGAATAAAATCAAATGAGGTTTAGTCAGTGTAGATTTTTATGCACTTTGCTTGGATTTTATTCAAATTTCTAAGATTCAATTTAGGTATTTACACTATTTCACTTATCTATAGTATCACCAGTTTAGTCACATAGTTGCTACACATTTTGTGCTGTGTGTAACATCAGAGTTACCACCGAATAGCAACTGTTTAAATATTGTGTGTTTTATAAAACAGTATATCTAAAATGTTTGAACAGGTGCATATTTACTTAGAAGTATCCCAAATGTTTAAACATGTAAAGATTTATATGAGTGCAAAGTTACACTTGGCTTTGCCGCTACTTTTTAGACATTCCCCGTCAGTACAATTTGGAATTGTCTAAATTAGGTTTCCTTTTTTCATGGAGAAACATGCAACCATTTGGAATTTTTTCTTCCCTTTTTAAAAATAACAATCACTTTTATAGTATTTGTTAACTTTATACTACATGCTGCGGTGTTTTGAAATAAGTTAATTGTGAAATAACAACATTTATTATGTGTATGATATACTAAGAACCAACAGTCTTCAGCATGCTTGTATTTCCCACTTTTAATATCATGTTTGCCATTATTTAGCTTCACTGTTCTTAGGATGCTGTTTGACTACTGAAGTGCTTTGGTTTTGATTTTTAATAGAAATATAATGCTGATTATGAACTGTCAGCAAAACAAGGGGCAGATACGCTGGCTTACATTGCTCTCCTCGAAGAGAAGCTTCTCCCTGCTGTGGTGAGCATTCGTGAATAGTATAGTATTGTAGTGACTTAATAGAAAATGTACTTTGTCTGCATAGGAGGGAAACAGTGAAAAGGCTTACGAGAGGGAAGTTTGCTTGCATATTAATCTTGATTCTTTTATATTACTGTCTTACTGGATTGTGTTAGACATTTAACTAGTATGTGATGTATAAAATGAAAGATAATCTAATTTTGGAAATAAAAATTCTTTGAGGGAGGTGAAACCTTTTTCACCATATGTGAATTGGTTAAATTGTAAATTAGCAAATGTTTACCATGTACCTAGTATATGTTAGTGCTAGATCTTGTTCTGGGTGCTTGGGGCATAGTAAAAACTCATAGATATAATCTTGTTTTCTCAATCATTCTATCTGTAAAGTTTATATAGTCACTTAATACAAAGACATTTATGAGGGATTTTTATGTTGATTGAGCAATCTTTTAATAAAAGAACATCCTTGGGATATTTTTGCTCTACTTTTCCAGCTCCACACTTTCTGGGTAGAGAGTGACAATTATTTTACTGTGACAAAGCCATGGTTTGCTTCACGAATTCCTTTTCCCTTGAGTTTGATCCTGCCTGGAAAGATGTCTAGGGGAGCACTGAATAGGATTCTCCTGACCAGAGGAGAGCCTCCCCTTTACCACGTCCAAGAAGTAGAAGCACAGGTATGGATGGGATTATTCTCCAAGCAATGGGTTTGCAGGGAAGAGATAGGAAACAGAGCATAGACTGACTGACCAGAGCATAGATGCTGCCTCAGAAGCAGTTTCAGAGCATCTTTCATCTTTCCTAGTTCTGAGGTGTAATTCCATTTCTGTTAGATATACAGAGATGCCAAGGAGTGCCTAAACCTTCTATCAGACAGACTGGGAAGATCTCAATTCTTTTTTGGAGATACGTGAGTAAAAGCCATTTTAATATTGTGTGTTCATATATTCCATGAGCAATTACTTAAAGCAAGTCCTTCCTGTGCCACAGAAGATGAGTTTTTCACTTAAAAAAAGATTTAATGGGTTTTTATTGTAGGAAATGTTTTCTATCAGCGAACTAACATCGACTTAAAGTGCTGCATATGTGAATGTAAAACCGTGAAGATTAGTCCTATCCTACCTCCAGTCTGTTTAGCACTTGTGAAAATGAGTGTCTAATGTTCAACTTCATATTTTGATAAATAAAATATGATTTATTTTAAAACTACTTAGAAGGTAGAACTCTAGTTGCATTGTTTTTATAAAACAATGGGTGGTAAACCATTTAAAACATTGTATTGTATAATTCAGATTTGATATATATTTGAAAGAAAAATTAAACACAATTCCAAATTATATTTTCTTATGTACTTAAAAAAATCCTTAATGTATTTCTAGGCCTTCTACCTTGGATGCCTATGTGTTTGGTTTTCTTGCACCTCTTTATAAAGTACAGTTTCCTAAAGTTCAGTTACAAGAACATCTGAAACAGCTTTCCAACCTCTGTCGCTTTTGTGATGACATCCTAAATAGTTACTTTAGGCTTAGTCTTGGAGGTAAGCTGGCTCTTCTTCAGCTGATGTTTGTTTGCATAGTGTATTTGCCTATTGTCCTGGGAACGCCTAAGCAAAACTCATTATTTATTTAAATATAAAATGTGCCTCATCTTTAAGTACTGGATTTTAACACTTCACAGAGTTACATTTTTCCTGCTTTGTTATTTCCCCATTAATGTTAGTTCTTATTTAAATAAACAGACATGTGCCTTGTATATAATTTCTTCCTCTGGATATTACATATTTCTTGCCTCTTCAAGTACTGCCACTTTGAAGTGGTTGTTTTCTTCTAACAGATTAAACCACAGGTATTTTGAGTCCCTGCTGAACCGTGGTATTTATTGTAATGCAAATGGGCAGTTGCTTTAAATGATTATCTGCTGCATCTGGCATTTCCATCTGTGAACAGAAATGAGTGGCACATTGATTCTCAGGGATTCTGGGGCTGGAAAGACAAGTCAGCCTAGAGGTACAATAAATAGAGGACCATTGTCACTTGGGGTGTGGTTGTTTGAGTGTGAGTCTTTGTGGTTAACTGACAGGGATGCTGAAGTTCTATTCGGAGAGTTGGCTGAAACTGACCTTTTAAGCAACTAAAGTTACAAAGGTAGACAGCTTTTTTTTTTTTTTTTTGCTCATGGTGGGTCACATAGGGCTACAAGGAAGGAATTAGATTGGAGGTCAGGAAACTAAGTAACATGTAACTTGTTACTTTAGAGCAATGGCTAGCAGACCTTATTCCACAACAAATAAAAAATGTTGGGTTCTGTTCATGACTTTGTGAATGAGAATCACTTAGGGACAAGTCCCAGAACTCTACTTTTTAAAGTCTCTTTGAATATTTTTAGTCCCTGGTAGGTAGCTGTTTGGAAGTCACTGCCTTAGGAAGCTATGCACATAGTTTTGACCAAAGACTTATTTGAAATGCCAGAGGGGAAAGTACAACTTAAATTTCAGAAGGAAATAAGGACTGTTGTGCTTTTACTAATTACTATGGCTAACTGCATGCCACTTGGATTGTGATCTTCTCAGTGGAGATTTTAGTCTTTATTTAGGGTTTGGTAATGGAGCATTGCTGTCCCTTTTAACTTTGCTTTTGAACCCAGGATGATTTTTCTCTGCATTTTTTTTTGGAGGGTGGGGCACTGGGAAGAGTGGGTAGACTCAAGATTCTTTTAGTCTAAACAGCTTTAAAGACTTTGAAAATGTCTTGTCCTCCTGACTTCTGTCCTCACTTCTTAGGCATCTCTCCAGCTGGACAAGAAACGGTAGATGCAAATCTGCAGAAACTCACACAGCTTGTAAATAAGGAATCCAACTTGATTGAAAAGGTCAAGTTTATTTCAATCATCCTTTTACGGTAGTCTAGTATTTTCCTTTCTACCACCAGTGTTGGGTCATGCATTAACTTTACCCTATCCATTTTCTAAAGAGTTTACATTTCAGAAAGCTGTTTAAATACACTTTTACTGAAGTTGTATATAATACAGTGTTTTAAAGCCAGCGGTAGTCTGATTGCTTGGGGAAAGTTCAGATAATGGTATTGAGTTTACTTTTACCACACAGATGTACTTGTCAAGCTAAGAAACCTAAAAGACTTACTTAAAAAAAGGAAGAAGAAACCTGGCATAGTGGCCCATGGCAGGCAGGAGAATTGCAAGTTCAAATCCTGTTTGGGCAACTTAGTAAGACTCTGTCTTAAAAAATAAAAAGGACCAGGGATGTAGCTCAGTGGTAGAATACTTGTCTAGCATTTGACAAGGATTTCTCTAGGATTTGATCCACAGCACTGCAGAGCAGATGACAACAACAAAAGAGTTCTTGTTTGTCTCTTTGTGTGCTTCTCCTTTCTCTTCCTAGCACCAAGATAACTCTCTCTGGGTATGTTTTTCTCCTTCCTGTCCTCTATTTTAAATGTAGTCGAGGTTTCCCCTAGTGCATGTATTTGCCACTTTGGGATGTTTGTTTTGTAAGAGCTGCATTGAGGAACTGGATCGGGGGAGGAGGCAACAGTGGAAATTTCAAGGGTGATTCTAATTGGGAAAATACAAGAGAGTGCACATTTTTTCCAGTTATCTGATGAACTTGCTTTTTCCTTTTTAAAAATTAATTTAGGATATACATACATAATGACCACATTCATCATAGGGAATTTGTACTTGTACATGCTGTATCTTACTGTTTTTTTTCTTACATAAATGAAAATACTTCATCCCTTCACCAGCAGTGGCTAGTATCTTTTGAGGTCTACTGAGCACTGTTGTACATGAGATTCATATGAGTTAACTCAAACCTGAGAGCAGCTCTGTACAGATACTGTTGTTGTTGTCCCCATTTTACAGATATGGATACTGAAGCTATGGGACTAACTTAAATGAACTACCAGGGTCATTCACCTGGCAAAAAGTAGAGTGTGGACTTGAACCATAGAGATGGGACTCTAGCATGAGCTTTGCACTAGCTGTTCTCCCCAGGGGTCAGCCGCCTTAGCTTGCGTAAGAGACGATGTATCCATTGCTAATGGTGCTAGTGGCCAGGCTTACCACAGTGGTTCTCCGGGGTGACCACCTGTTGCTTTTTATAGTTTTTCGTGTGTTGTTATAATTTGAGAAGTGAGTAAAACTGAGTAGTGAAATTGTAAGCATTTATAATTATTGAAATTTTGGTTAAGTTGGGTTAATTTTGGTAAAAATGGAGTTGATTTTTCTCAATTCTTTGCTCAGTTCAGGAAATCTCATGAACTACATAAAATATAAAATACATATAAGAAAGAACAGTTGTCTCCTAAATGAAGGCTATCCATTGTGGTTTACATTTTTTACATGTGACAAATTCAAAACGAGTATGGAAGGGGCACTGTGAGAAGGTGAACTGGATAGAAGGTGAAACCAAGGGCTGTCTGCGCTCATCAGTTTATGAAGGTGTTTCTGACCGATTTCAGTCAAGCATTCCCCTCCCTCCACTCTTCACTCACTCATCCCTGCTTATCCATGGGAAGTGTGTGGTGTACTGGTTAGCAGCAGATTCTGTTGGCCATTACTGGTCCCAATTTGAACAGAAAGTATAGAGTTTAAAAAGAGAATCATGTTTGAGGAACTTAGTTTTGTAAGAAAGAAAAGACATCTTAACACAGTTTAAATAGTTTACTCTTAATTTTTTCTGGTAGAAAAATAAAAAGCATTTTTTCTCTTTTTTTCTACAAATCCTGTATTTCTGCTGAAAAAAAAAAGTTTATGAGAACATCTTGGGACTATTAAGGGAGAGTTTTGAATATTCTGCACCTATGTAAAACTCTAAAAAAGCCTGCTTGTTGAGTAGGTATTGGGATCCGGTTTTCTCTTGGTTTCGTGGTTTTTGGATGGCAGTTCCTTTGAAGCACTGAAGGTTAAGCTGAACATGAACTCACCATCGAGATCTGAGTCTTGCACTTTATGGAGTACTCTGGTTAAAAGCAGTTTTTAAGGGTCTGAGTTCTAAATAATCTCTATCCTACTATTAGTTCCAGCGATGTTAATGTGCTTTTCTTTAGGATAAATCTGAAGTTCTTGGGCATTTTCTTAATATGCTTACATTAATTGTTTCTTTAAGGAAAGCTTGAACTGATTGAATGTTGCATAAAAAATTTGTCCTTCTGTCTATCTCTTTTTGTAACTTCCTTTGGTCTACCTACATACTCGGCTTTAAAGAGCTGGTCTTTTTGAGTAGAGTACAGGTTATTTTCCTGGAGACAAAAAGTTGAAAAAATGGTTGTATTGCAGTAAGAAGATGTGGGTTCAAGTTTCAGCTCTCATAGTAGCTTTTGAGCCTGAGACCAATCACTGAACCTTTCTGAGCCTCATTTTGCTAATCTCTGCATCAGGGAAGGACTGTGTTTTCCTTGTCTTAAGCATGTTGGGAAGATCAAATGCAGCATTGGGTCTGCATAGACTATGAATTGTGGGGTTGGTGTAACAGAATTAGTCTGTTAGAAGACCTCTTAAACTCATGCTGTGGGTGAGTTCGTTTTCATTTTGGGGAATTACTGTAAACTGTGGAAGTATCAAGGGTGAGTCACATTGCTTTCTATAGATAGTCCACTGGTATTAGTGGTATGGTATTTACAATTCTTGAGAGTGTTTGTAGGAAGAGGTTTCTGTGGCAGTCCTGGCAGCGTACGGTTCTGTGTTCTTCTAGTTTGGAAGGGGAGGCCGCAGTCCACAGAACTGGTGCCACAGCTTAGTCAGATGTGTCTTTTGTGCTTCCTACAGATGGATGACAATCTTCGTCAAAGCCCTCAGCTTCCTCCTCGGAAACTGCCAGCACTCAGATTGACTCCCGCAGAAGAAGACAGTAATTCCTTACAACGGCTGTCACCCTGATGGTCGTTGCACTTCGTGGTCGTAGTTGTATGAATTGATATAATCTCTTGAACCAGGTGTATAAGGCAAAAAGAAAATACTGTTAATAGGTATAAGGAAGACTCTAAAACAAAAGCTCTGTGACATCTTTTTTTTTTTTAAATTAAGAAGCTTGTATTTTAGCTTGGCAATACATTTTAAATAAAGGTGAATGCTAAGTGAATATGGTGGGTGGGAGGGAAAACACATTATACTGTGTATATATATATATTAAAAACCTGCCTTAATCTTGGCAGATTTTGGCCTTTGGTTCATGTGTTGCTGACCAAAGCTACAATTCTGTTCTGAATGTGCATTCTTAATTTATTCCAGTTAATTTATTCAGTTTATTAACTTAGTTTTCTTAGACCTGTCTGAATACATAATATGTGGCTCTATGGCTGAGTCTTTTTTCTTCTGTTTAGAAAACTGATGCCTATTGTAGGAACTAGAAGAAATATAAATTACTTCAATAGAAAAATCTGTATTTTACTTTAAAATACAGGGAGGAATGTGCTTTCTAATTATGTTCTCTTAAGTCTAATCTTTTAGAAGTTTAGTGTAATATATAAATATTAAAAGTGTTATATTTAATGCTCACCCAGTGATACACACTTCAGTACAACATTAGCATTTGCTGATGTGTTCAGTGTAGGCCAGCAAGGACTCTTTCCGTTTGCCGGGGAAATGTGGCAGCTTTAGACCTACGTATTTGTAGTGCATCTTTAATCATCTTGTTTTGTTGGTTCCAGGAGAACTGAATGTGTTGGGCCTCTTTACTGTGTGAGACCATGAAACCTTAATGAAACTTGCCCTATGTTAGACACTACTCAGGAGGATCCTGCAGCCAGGGTAATAAAGATACCTACTATGCGTCTGGTCTGAGTTTTCCGTGCTTGCCTCAGGCCAGTATTTTTTATAAGAAATACATTATGTAGTCACAAGCTTTCTGACAGCCACTTGTTTTCCATATATTTTAACTACGTTTGAAAGATCCAAAGGAATAATCAGAAATAGCAGATTTTTAAGACTATTTTCTATTCATTGGTTGCTGAATTGTTCGAGGGTTTGCTGTGTGGGAATTTTACTTATACTGTAATAGAAACTTGCTTATTTTAGTGGTTGAGGTGCTTCCCTTGTCCTAAGACAACTCCTGGGGTTTTTAAAATGTAGGACCATGTTTTTGATTAGTGTCTTAAAAGATTACCATGGTGCTCAGCAGATCTTACCAAGTCCTGTAGAAACCAGTGTGCTAAGAAAACAAGCTTTGTTTAGACCCTCAGCTAACTGGAGCTGAGCGAAGTTCCCTCATGTCTGACCCACATCTTCCCACTTTCTTCTGTGTTTAGGTAGCTGTTTATACAGGGGTCTTTAAGTCATTCTAAATCGTTTCTCTTGAAAGCTTTAACTAAATGAGAAGCAAGATTGTATTCCCAGGCTTGTTCATCTGTTTGGATGCCTTTAGGGAAAGTAGCTAAAGAGTTCACATTATTTCTACAACAGAGTATTTGGGAGTGCGGGAGGGTGTGTGTATCTCATTCATCTTTAGAGGCAGGTTATTAGATTCTAGTCATCTGAAGTAGGCATGAATATTTTATATTGAAAACCATGATCATGAGACTAGCTTGTCCTCTAGGATTGATGTACATTGGAGAAGGGTTGTTAGTATATCAACTGGACATCTGTGCTTCAGTCAAGGTTAGTTACTTTCAATCATGATTTATATTAAACCTTCCAAAAAGCATTTGAAGTGGCTTAGAGCTATAAAACACATGTGAAGCTTGACAATTATGATTAGCCTATGAAAAATAAATTAGGAGGAGAAAAAACTATCAACACTGACATACTGTAAAACTGAAGTGAAGTTAACTTCAAGTTTTTCCATAGGTGGAGTCAAAAAATAATTATGGGTTCAGTAATTTCTTCTTTCAATTCTGTTAATGTTCATGAGGAACAGAAATGTATTTAAATATTTGTAAAATGTGGGAGTTCATATTCTTGCAGTATACAGACCTCAACCAAAAATTGTACAGTAATTATTTAAATTTCAATCAAAAGAGGACATTTTAGTATAATAAGTGTATGTCCTTCTCAGCAGAGATGATGACTATAGATACGATCTGTTCACCGCTTTGAATGTGTTTGGCCTTGGATAGCCCATGATATTTCCAAACTACTGCCTTTCCTAGGTGGCAAAACGTGGTTTAGTAAGTGAGAATTATACGTTGAGTTACTTAGTTGAGTTCATTTCTTTGTATAAGCAAATAAAATGATAGAAAGCTATATGTGAGTACTAAAATACTCTAAAGACCAGCCACACTTGCAGAAAGTTCTTGGGAAAAAAGTTGAGGCTGGACAGAGGGCCTGTAATTACCCAGTCAGTTATGCTTTGGATAAAGGTTGAGTTTTCTGGAAAAAATGGTCCATAGCCTTAAACAAAGTACTGTGAGCCACTGTCTTTTGGAAGTGATGATGCAGATAATATGATAAGATGGAATGTGCTTTTGTTTAATTTTGTTAGTAGTATAGGATTAGAACAATTGACTAGACAGTAATGCCCATAAGATGAAAATCCTCTATCAACAGTCATCCATAAAATGGATTGAACAACACTAAAGAAACTGTATAGAGCATTGAAGATGCACTTTCTTTCAGAACTTTTTTGATCTCAGAGAGGTTGGCATTAACAATATCCATGTAGCTATGTTTGAGTTATCTTTTGAGTATTAGAGAATTAGAGAATTTATAAAGCAAGCATTTTTATTTCTATTTGTAATTACTATTTAAAGTAGCTTTACACATTAACATGAAGGAATAGAGAAGCTAATTTTAATCAGATGAATTAAATTTGAAGTTTGAAAATGGGAAAAACTAACATTGAAAGAGGCAGAAACTGGTAACAGTAATAGTATCTTAGCAAACCACTCTATTCAGGTAACTTCATGTGATGAAAATAGTATTTGAATTTGGTAGTATAATTCCTTTGAGTCTCCTACAGAAATAAGCATTTACCAGCTCAGTTAGATTTTAGTAGTTTCTCATAAGCTATCAATAACCTTAACCTTTTAAAAACCAATTGTAGGAGCTTACATATAAGATAATAAGTGATAGGACAAATACTTTTTAGTTCATTCTTGAGTTTAAAGAAAAACAATGCTTCTCTACAAATGCTCTAACAAATGCTTCTCCTAAAGATTTACTTTGCCTTACTACAAAAGGAAAAAGCTACAACCTAAATACCAGATCTCCTTTTCCCTATGATATCGAAGTCTATGATTTTGTTTCTAATTTTTCGTTATGGTACATGTGTTCACATTTGAAAAAAAATGCTTCTGTCCCTTCATGTGGTATTTCTTCTTTGCTTTGTATTTGTAATCTAGGTACACAGTGGGACATGACGTTCATTAAGAGCAGCTTTTAAAGGAGAAGATGTGATGCTCAGGGGGAATTAGAAGCTGACTTTGTCTTGGTTTGGTTATTTTTATAATTGAAATCCTGAGCAGATGTGTTCTAGGTGGTGAAAATTATTTTTACTTTTTTATGTTTTCATATATATTTCTTTTTAAAAAATTTGTTGTTATATGAAATAAAGTGTCAGTGATCCTATCAAAAGTTTAATTGAAGGTTCAGTTAGATACTCAAAATGCTGATTTTTCAGAGAGATATAAGGATGAGGGGTTTTGTTTTATGTTGTTATGTTTTTGTTTTTAAGGGGCTGCAAAATAATGTAGCCTAGAAACTGCTGTTGGGATGTAGTGATTGCTAAGAACACAGATTCTTGCCCTGGACTTAGGATTATTGTGATTCAAGTAGAGAAGTGCTCTAGGAATTAAAAAGGATATAAAAAATTTCTAAGTAAAGTATGCCATGTATTACTGGTAGGAGTTAACATTCTTGAACAGTAATATAATAAAAGCATAAATTCAGGCCAGATCTTTCTCAAACAGGAATGCTGTAATAGAAAAATTATTCAAAGCAAAATAAACTAGTTTCTTAAAAAAAAACAAAGACAGAAAGTCTTTGTGTCCTCATTATTATTAATTTGAAGTTATACTATAAGATTTTTTTTTCAAACCACCACCAGTTTCTCAGAGAAGCAGTTCCTGAAGGGGTAGGTTTTTTGGTTTTTGTTTTTGAGACAAAGTCTAGCTTTGTAGCTCAGGCTGGCCTTGAACTCACTATGTGGCTTAGGCCAGCCTCAAACTTGCAGCAGTCCTCCTTCCTCAGCCTCCCAAGTGCTGGGATTACAGGTGCATGCCATCACGCCCAGTTCCAAAAGAGTGTTTTGGCAGAATATACTGTGATATGAATTGAGGAGTTTGTGACCTAGGAAGTTTGAAGAATGTTAGGTTAGGCCAAGTTGAATTACTATAGGGTTTTTAAGGCCTTTGATATGCTAATGTGTATTTTCAATCTTCAAGCTTTGGAGTTTTCAAGTTTTATTTGATTATGTACTAAAGGCAGTCTAAGGAGTGTGTACGTGTGTGCACATGTGCACGTGTGCAAGTTCAGTACAGGTATTGCCCAGAGGACTGTTAGTTTCCATTCAGAACTTCTTACTTTATACACAAGCTTGCTAATTTATTTTAGTGTGGATTTTTTTAAGCACAGTACTATGTGTTCTGCAAAATATCCTTAGGAAAATGTTGCCCTGGAGTGTTTTTGTTTGTTTGTGCTCATTATAAAGGTTTCTTATTCTGGGGTGCCCCTCTAGTGACAATGATGAAGTAGGACTGAGCACATCAGGTCTGCCTTGGACCCCAAGTTGAGAGGGATGGCTGTGGCTGTGGCCGCAGAGAGGTTGTTACTTAGGTAGGTGTGAGTCCATCCGTGCCCTTCCCTAGCGCCTCATCAATCTGGAAAGCTGTATGGTATCTAAACTGATGGCTTCGGAGGACAAACCAATTCTTAGGCATCCATGAGACATGGGCATCAAAATTGTAATTCCAGAGCATTTTTCTAAATCGTTTCTGTGGTTTATATGTGCCCAGAGAGACAGTGAAGTTTCTCATATATAAAAAGTTTGCAGTTGCTTCAGTGACAAAGCAAAGGAAGTTTAATATTTTCAGGTTTTATTCCGTTATTGCAGACACTTTAAGGAACGATTGTAGGAAGCAGGATGATAGTTTTCATTAGATTTTCAGCACATTCTACATCTTAAAAAATGTAAACTTCATTAGGCCTCCAATTTGAGTTAACAAAATACATTTTCTGTTTTTTCATTTCAGAGTATAAACCAGGTCACTAATGAGGCGTAAAGATGTTTTTCATTCATTTCTTGTTAAGTATACAGTTGCCTGTTTGGAACTCCATGCTTTGGATTTGTGTTTAAAAGAAAGCTTGTCTTTGAGCTTTGAGCTGTGGTGTAATGGTGAACATCCAGCCGCATAAAAAGCAG